TCTGGACCAGCTGGAGCTTTCGGATATTCTTCAAGGGTAGCCCCATGTAGAGCGCAGGCCAAGGATGGGACCTCTCGCTCCCTATCACCGATTGGGATCGGCCCCGGAGAAAGGAGGTGAACCAGCACAAAACTGTGCCGCCCACCCCATATCCCTGAGCCGTCCCAATAGGATACCGTGGTCGATGGTATCAAACGCCGCTGAGAGATTGAGGAGAGCAAGGATGGTCGCACTACCACCATCCCACTCCCGCCAGAGATCATCCATAAGTGCGACCAATGCCGTTTCTGTTCCATAGCCGGGCCTGAAACCTGACTGATAAGGGTCCAGATTATCTGGCTATTTATGGAGACTTAGTTTAATGTTATGTAATGTAATGTAATGTAATTTATAGGTGTCAAATTATTGACTTTCATCAGTCTACTGGCTCTTCTGGCACACACCCTCGTTTGTTTGAATGGGTATTAAACTATTATTCTTCAGGTAAAGAAAACAATGCAAAGGTTATGAGTACCTCCAAGCCACCAATTTATCTTCAGCACCAAGGTCAGTAAAACTCTGTCTCGGTTTTTTTGTAAAACGTTTCTGAAAATAAAGTTCCATAGCTATTCTTGTAAATTGTTCTCCATGACAATTCTCTTTTATGTGAATCATACGTCGTCATGTTAGAAGAGAAGAATCTGGAATACTCAGATCTGTTTCTGAACATCAGTATTTTAAACCTTGACTTCTCAAATGTGCTTGAAGTATCTTTGCCTAAGTCATGAGCAAGATTTCACATTTAATTATATCTACAGTAAATGGAATTGAATTATTTTTTTATCTTCCTCCTTTTTGAACTCTACCCTCTAGATTAGCATTCAGTGGTTAAGAGCAACCTTGTCTGAAAATTATTGTACAATCCTAGAACACCAAAACATTTTAATTAAAGTTTATTTTCAGAACAGCTTGTCCTTGTGCATATTGTGTTCTGTGTGCTGTGTTACCATCAGCACAGTAAAACAATCAGTCTGTTTCTCAGTGCAATTCAAGGTGCTTATGATTTCTTACAAAGCCCTGAATAGCATGTGACCATATGGTTGAAGGACTTTTTCCTTCAACTTAAAATTTGCCTGGTCTTTTTGAAGGATTGATGAGTGAGACTTTTTGAAGGCCTCTTGAGTGAGATACTGCCTTCCAGTCCTGGTTTCATACTTCCTGATGCTCTTGTTGTGTAATTAAGTTCTAATTTACTACATTTCTATAATAGTTTTGTCAGCAACTTCAAACATAATTGCAGAAAAACATTTGCTGAGAACATTCATATCAGTGGTTTTTATTCTATGAACGAGATATTTAGATAAGAAGCAGTTCAATATGGTTTATTTCCACTAAGAGGTTGGTAATTCTTATGTATGTGTATACTTTAACACATGTTTGGGTTTTGGTATTGAAAACTAGGTCATAGTCGTACCATTGTTGGAATTGAGGAAAGAAAAAACAAAAGTTTATGTCTACTAATATTTGATCCTGGCTGCCCTTCACAAGAAATGCAAAAACTCTTAAAAGGCATTGATGGGAACAATCTAAAATTCCTTCGAAGGCTTCCAGGAGGCTTAAAGCATAAGCAGTATCAAATAGTGGCTGTAGATGGTATACTGACAGAAGAGGAAAAAGTTGTAAGTATTGCAGAACACATCCATTTGATTAATTTTTATTGAGTTAGGATGAATAGAATTGTTTCTTTTAATTACATATTCTTATCTATTTTATGTGTCTCCCACTTATAAGGCTCGTAGGCAGGCTTCTCAACTCTTCATGGCACAGAAAATTCCTTGAAATAAGAATTCCTGAAAAATGGAAGAAGTTAAAGGCTGCAAGGGAGATCTGTTCATACAGGTTGTTGAGTGATGTACATAGCATTTTTTAAGCATTTCAAAATAAATATTGAAAGACTTAATTCTTATGTATGATTCCTGTGTGATGCTGAATTACAAATATTATATCCTACGTTACTGTGTCATTACAGCAGAATGTTTTTAAACTTTGCTTGGAATGGACAAGTGAGTTCAGTCAACATGAACACTAAACTGATCTCTGTTCTCAGTATTCTAGGGGAAAAGATTATTTCTGCAACAGTACTATAAGCCCAAGCCAAGAATATTCATAACTCACATTTCCAAATCAGGGAGGGTCCCTTCTGAAATGCTTCCCACACCCTCTCTCCTTCTGTGGGCTGAGACATCTTTTACATGCTGGTTGTCCCATCTGCAGCTTTTCCTCCTGTCTTCAAGGTCATTCCCACATATCATTACAGCTTTGAGAAGTCAAGGCTTGCAGTCCTTATGTGGGTGGTACATGGGGCAGCACTGAGAAAAGCTAGGATCCTAGAAGTGTGCAGAGCGATGGAAAATGGGTGTGTGTGTGTGTGCGCGTGTATAAAAAAATACCTGAATTGAGTCGAAACTTCCTAGGGTCAGGTGATGAAGGACGAGAGCAGAACTGGAAGACTACTTAGATTATGAATATGTAGAGAAGATAGGAGCAAAATTCTGTTAATTGTATGCTTAGCTATAATAGAAAGAGAAGCTATTCTCCTGAAGCATTTCAATTGAAGTGCAATAAGACTGCCTATAGTTACTCATTCCTTCTAAAAAAATGTACTTGTCTTGGAATCCTTGCATTCATGCATGTGTGCTGTCTACTTCACACAAGCACACATACCCTGAAGATTACACTGCATGAACCTGACAAAGTAGGCTGTAGTCCGTGAAAGCCAACCTTATAATAATTAACTCAGTTGTCAAAGTATCACAATGTCCTTACTCCTCATTAAGCTTGCTGGTGGCTTCAGAACTTTGAGGAGTTGCCCCCTTTCCCCTTGCTTTGTTTCTTTGGTCTGAGCTCTGTTGATAGCTGTCAGGAAGAAACTAAAATATCTTTTTACTTTTGTCTGCAGGAACAAAAAGTGATGCTGCAGTAGCAAACAAAAATTATACAGAAAGTCACTCTGTACATGCATTTATATTATTTCTTATTACTATTCATATTCCTGGACATAGCCTCATGGCAAATTCTGGGGTTGAACAAAAATTTCAACCTGAGTCTCTCCCTGTCTTAATTAAAACTAGTTGCTAGAACACTATATGGGCTGCAAGAGGGGACGTGATAAAGACCAGAAATATATTTTAAATCCTTGACTTATATTACACTCAGCACCTGACTCTATTAAAAAAAATCAAATTATGCAATTTTCAGGTGGCCTTGCTTCAACATGAGGTTGTTGGGGTTTTTTTTTGTTTAGAACCTGTCTGGTTGGTTTTATTAAGTAAAAAGTAGCAACTAAATAATTTAATCTACAATCCTATGGTTCCTGGGAAAACTGTCTTAGATGCTATAGGATACATCAGAATGCTTTCTCTACAGATAGAGGGATATGTCCTCAAAATGGGAAATCCTATTGCAGAGACTTCTTCCCCGCTATTCCGGAAACCTCAGTAGCAAATACCATTGTGTGACTGGCAGGAAACAGAAAAGTGTTGACATGAAGAATGTATCATGAGAAGCAGTGTCGCTTTTTAATGAGATGAGCAGTGACAAATTGGATATATAAATAATTCCTAGGCTTGCCCATAAGCAGCAAATGGTTTATGTCAGCCCTGGAGTTGATGTAGACTAGTTCCATTCCAATGAAAACAATAAAGGGAATTAGTTACTTCAATGGTCCATTAAGGGGAAAATGCAGCAAAAATGAATGCCTTTTTTCCTTTTTTCTTTGGAAATTATTTTAACATTCCATCTATAGGATTGAGGTGTGTGAACTTGTGTCAGCCTGAAGGCCACACCAGGGTTTGCATGGTATATCAAAGGCCATGCTACAAAAGTGAAAAAGCCAGGCCCCATTATAGGAGCAAGAATTCAAGAGTTTTAAGAGGTGAAATTATGCCTTCAGTATCTACTTAAGATCCATCCCTCACAAAAGGGATGTAATGGGACCCACGCTTTTTGTACCCCTGTCCTAAGGTATTTAGCTCTCATTCCTGCCTTCTTTTGAAGGAGCAACCTTAGCAATGCTACAAGATGTAGCTTAAGTTTTTTTTCCTACTGATCACCGTTTTTCTCCTTTACTAATTAATGCTGCCTTTAAGCACTGGTATAAATTTCCAGAACCGTGCAAGTGCTAGATGTAAAGACTTCCTGCAGTGGTGGCTAAAGATTGGTCCTTTCTCACCCAAACAGAAAGGATATTTATTTATTTATTCACACGTCTTCATTTAACCTCTCAGGAACATGGCTTTAAAACAAAATATAATCTTGTCCAGCTATTAAATCAAATTATAATGTCCAACTAGATTGATCAGCAGTTTATGTCCTTTTATTCCTTTCCTTCCCCAACAGGCAAGTTTGAAATGCCAGTCTCAGTTGAGGAAATTTAGGCTAAGGAAATCTTTTTCCTTTACTGTAGTTAGCTTTTTTACTTCCCGGCTGTATTCCAAGAAATAAAATGTTGGGAGAAACAAATGAAAGGAATTTGAATGTAAGAAAAAATGCAATCTTTGCATGGGGTAAAAAACAAGGAAGTCACTAGACCAGATCTGGATAGCAACCAGCAGAGATAAAAAATACCCACACAACAAGTCTCAATGAAACAATTCAGGTCAAACCTAACTGCTATGGAGGTCACATAGTCAACAAAAGGCTGAGGTGATGCAGAAAGGAATGTGTGACTTGCTGGCAAGGAATTAAAAGCTGCAAGGGACCTCCTCTTGAGAGGTTTCAACATTCATGCATATTACCATCAGTTGCTGGCACCTCATCTCTTGGCTAATTTGTCGTACGAAAATGAATGTGCACAGATGTGCAATGCTTACGCTGATTGTATCTAATAAAAGTTTTACAGGTAATTAGAGATTCTATGTGTAGTGTATATTCTGTGTGGAGTATTCCAACTGTTGTATACGTTCTTGAAGTTCTATCTCCACTGAAAGGGAATTTGGTAAACTCAATCCCCTCCCTAATTCAGTTGCCTCTATCCAGCCCTAGATATATTAGATAAATGGCAAGGGAGGTGACCTGCACGTGTGTCTCAGCAGGGAGTTTGAAAGAGAAAAAAAATGAGGGAATTATAAATTGAGATAACATCATAGGAACATCACAAACTGCTGTTGTAACAACAGTGATTGCAATTGCGAATGCTTAAATTATGAACAGAGGATGGCATTCCTATCTGAAGGGATGACTCCACTGTTTAGCAGGGAAGTGAGTTGTTTCAAGGCCAGGCCTCTTTGAAGGGTTCAGAGATTTTTACAGCCTAAACACATAAGTTCAGCAACAGTTTCTTTTAACTTTTATCTTCTCTCTGCTTTCAGCTAACTCCATCTTTCCTTTTCCTCCCTCCTCAAAAAGACCTCTCAGCCTCTCAGAGCATCAGGAACTGAATCTGGAAATACTTAGTCCCTGATGATTACGGTGATATTTTCCTTTCCCCACATAGTAACAGGCTGAAAGCAAACTCTGGATATACAATGTCTAACACTGAACCAGAGCGCATTGGATAGAGTGCTACCTCTGTTAAGATACTGTGATAAAGTACTGCAGTAAGTAACCCAGAACAATTTCTTCAGTCCTTCTACATTTGGGCTGGTGACAGATGCCCACCTCTCTTGCAAAACAGTGACATGCTTCTTTCCCCAAAGTCATCTGAATACAACAGTCTGAGTGACTGAGGAGGCCATAATGCTAGCTAACTCATATCACCATCATCATCATGTCTCCACAGTTGCAAGGAATTCCACATACCACATTCACATCTGAATCTCCAAATAAGTTTTATCTAATTAAGGTACACAGTTTTCAAAAGTAGAGCAGATAAGAGTACGGACAGGAACAATTGGGTTCCAATCATGGGTTGGAAAGAAATCTAGCCTTTCCTCCTGTCTACTTTCTTACTAGCAAGGCTCTTTCTTTCTGAAAGTGCTTTTAATTTAAAAAGCCAGGCTGTTCTGTTAATGTGTGTACAGTGCATATAGTATCTAGCTAGATTTATTATGCTTTCAACATGAAAGGTAGAAACAAGATTAATACCTGCTGATCAAGTTTTCTAATAAGCTCATCTTTCTTTCCTCATCTCATCTACCTATGATCTTTTTTACCCCAACTATCTTACATGAGATCTTATGTAGTATTCTGATGACTTTGCTGCAATCATCCCTTCCCAGAATGGTTTTGATTGACTTTCTTACTTATCAGTCTAAATTATCTCTAGCTTTGTAAATTTATTTATTTATTTTTCAGATTTATATATGCCGCCCATCTTACTATACAAGTGACTCTAGGTGATGTTACACATAAACTATAAAATCCTAGAAAAATATATAGGTTAAAAAATTACAAAAGGTTAACATTAAGCTAAAAAGTTAAAACTACAATGCAAACTAAAAAGGTGGAGAGAGCATCCTCTGGCTACAGGCCACCCCTGCCCCCAGTGCAGTGAACTCCCATTGGGTCCCCATGCAAGTTGGCAGAGCCAGGTCTTAACACCCTTGGAAGGGCAAGAGAATGGGGTCAATCTCACCTCAGGGGGCAAGATACTCCAGAGGGCGGGAGCCACAGCAGAAAAGGGTCTCCTGGACCCTGCCAATCAAAACTCTCTAGGCAATAGGGTCTGCAACATACCCTTCCTGCTGGACCACGTGGGACGGGTCAATGTAATGGGGATGAGACGGTTCCTCAGGTACCCTGGGTTTATGCCATTAAGTTTACCTGGATGTCTTCTTATTTTCTACCAGTCAAGTGACTGTGTTATCTTGTATAGGATAAGAACAGCTTTGGTAAATTACTCTGAAACATTAATTTTAAAAATGTTGGCTTTAAAATTCTGTGCTTGCTTTCTAGTGAATTTTGGGAGGGCCCCTAGTACAGTCTTATAACACCAATCTCCATGCCCAATGACTGTTCCTCACACTTAGAAACATCAACATTTTTCTAAGATCAACCTTCTCTCTTTTTTTTTTCCTGACCTTTAACCATTCTGTTGGATGAAAGGTGCTAAAAACTGAAGAAGTTGCAACTATTAAGAAGTCTTTAGGTGGCTGTAAGAAAATCTTTCCCCTTAATCCCAATGTAAGGAAAGAAAACCAAACAGATAAGCAGTGCTTTTTAAGTTTTATTGATTTATGGCCACAAGGTTTTCTCAATAGAAGAATACGAGAGTTAGCAAGTGAGCAAGCAAGCAAGCATTTCATCAAGTGGATCACATCAGCTTCCTGAATATCTTTTAGAAACAAACAGTGGTTGATTTTGGAAAAGAACAAGCTTGAATGTGCTTCTTTGTCTGGGAATTATACAGAAACAGCAAACTGAACAAAGATGACCTGTTTCTTATTCTCCTGCAGCCTATGCTCCTTATCACTTATTCCAAGATTTTGTTTTATGCCTTTTACCAGTTTCATAATGGTTTCTAGCAAACTTTCTTTCTGGAAGGCTGTCTTGTTTCACAGTTTGTTCTGTGTCCACTCTGATATGGCTCTGATTATATCTGCTAATTTCTGCTGATTTGAGTGTCCTCTATGGCCTAATATAGCTACTGTCTCCATGGGCTTTTCTTTCACCAGGACCAATTCTGCTAATATTTGACTATGGAACTAGCAGAATTCTGGAATCACTTGAAGGGTTGAAAAGATAGATAGAAAGGTTTTCTCCAGACTTCACCTTTTCTTTCAAAGTTTAGAGTTTTGTTCCAAGTAAGCTTTAGAAGATCACACAGATTTTAAATTGATAATTATGTTTTTATGAAGAGAAATAAAATATAGCAGACTGTAATACAAACAGGCTCTGGCTGGGTATATGAACGTGCTCAACATAGGCAAAAGCAAAACAAAAAACAAAGGCAATTTTTTCAGATATCATGGCCTCTTTTAACTGCAGTATACTTAGTGGTAACTAGCTTGATCACCTTGAAGTATCTGAATGATTCTTTGATAAATCCCAAACCTTTCATTTTAGGATAATACAGAAATATTAAGGAACTTAACAGCTAACGCTTTCTCAAGAACATGAGATCTTAGAGAATCATGTTCTTTGATAACGCCAACCTTTCTTTTTGTGAAAAATTCTTGTTTTAACCGTTCTCTGATTGATAATTATTTCAACTCTTAGAAATCAGGAAGAGTGATTTCTTGCAGGAAAGGGGTTTGCAGGTTTGAAAACCCCTTTGAGGAATTATTGGGGGATTTCCTTCTGAAATGAAAGGTTAACTGCAAACAGGAGCTTTAGGACCTCAAAGGGGTTTTCAAACCTGCAAACCCCTCATGTTCTTTGATAACGCCAACCTTTCTTTTTGTGAAAAATTCTTGTTTTAACCGTTCTCTGATTGATAATTATTTCAACTCTTAGAAATCAGGAAGAGTGATTTCTTGCAGGAAAGGGGTTTGCAGGTTTGAAAACCCCTTTGAGGTCCTAAAGCTCCTGTTTGCAGTTAACCTTTCATTTCAGAAGGAAATCCCCCAATAATT